TCTATCAGTGAGGTATGAATGGATGGTTTTGATCAGATATGGCGGAAAATTGAAATTAAAAAATTTGTAAATAATGCCAGAGGTCCAGACAGAGTCGAAGGCCTTTTCACTATCAAGTAGCAGCATGGCAGTGTCCTTTTTGGCCTCTTGGTTGACATTGATGTGATTGGTGATGCGAAGGAGTTGGTGGATGGTGGAGTGGTTTGATTTGAAGCCAAATTGGGCAGCAGAGATAGTGTCGTTAAGGGTGATAAATTTGTTTAGTCTTGAGAGGAGAATTTTTTCCAGGATTTTAACTAAATTGGGTAGCAAGCTAATTGGACGGTAGCTAACTGGTTCATAAGGAGACTTGGCAGGTTTTAGGATTGGGATAATAACTGCCCGTTTCCAGGAGTATGGGAAATATTGTGGTACCTAATACCTAACTCTTGTAGTAGGAGCATAAAAACGACTTCATAAATTTCAGTCAGTTATTTTTGCGCATTTTTGTTTTTCTTTGATCAATTAATATAGACAATTGAACATTAGTAGATTACTGAGGATTTCCGGGATTTATTGAATTAAAAAATAATTGCAATAATTATAATAATTATTATTTTTATAGCAAACGCCTGCTTTTCCGAATGTTTCAATTATTATTCTCCTGGCCTCAACGAATGATCATTCCGATGAAATTTTAACGGATTTTATTGTTTAATGTTAATTATAATATAATTATACTCAATGAATATTTCAAGTGACGGATATTGGGGAAGCTACGTAGGACCCATGAATGGCCAATGATCGACCAACCAATATTTATTCAACAGATTGGGGCTTTACCATTGGACCCAACATCGCTCAACCGAACCTCGTTGGGTCGATGTAGGCCAACATATTGGCCGAATATCGAACAACCGAATATTAGCGAACGATGCTGGCCAGTGTACTGGCCACGCATCCGAAAACCGAATGTTGTCAAACAGATGCTGGCCAATACATTAGCCAAGTCTGCAGGCTCGAAAATTCCTAATAATTCTTTTTTTTTACACATTACACTAATCAATGTTACAAAGTCAAATGTCTGAAAGAGTTTTTGTTGCTAATAAATTATTAATGAATAATTGGCATGTCGATTTTGATGAATAATTGTTATAGATATTTTCGGAGATACGTTGCTTGTAGCCCACCTGTTTGCTTATAAAAAGTACACGTTCACAAATATCGTTAATTTTTTCATCTATTTCGAGGTATTTGATTAAAAATTACGTAACTGATGCTAATTTACCAGTTGGCTCCAAGATTATAAAATAAACTAAATTTTTCATATCAGTGGACGAGCTTGCTCTATGCATTTGGAGAAATGCAGTTTTGTGAGGTCAGGCCAGTTCTCCCACCGAATATCGCCCTGACATGTAATGTCCTGCATTCAGCCTAGATTCCTATGATGAAATTGGTAAAATTCAATTAAGAAGAATGATCTAGAAACCATCCTTTTTGCGTCGAAGTGAATCCGGTATTTATCTTCAACTTACTTGCAAAAGAGTGATATAATCAAGTTTTACAAAAGAATAAATAAATAAATAAATATTTTCACTTATAAGACTTAATAATACTTTTATATATTTGTACGGAAGTGGTGTAGAGCAATGATTATGAAGCTCTTGAAGTGTTACTACACTGAAATTTCATGTTAAAAATCTGGTATTTTTTTAACAACCACACAGCGACACAAAATTTCCGTTTTCAATTGAAATTAAATTTAAATTCAGATAACTTAAAATTCAGATGACTTTGTAACTGAAATTTCAAGACATATAATAGTATATACTCACTTCCTCAAATTCTCAGCCTAAAAATGTTTGCGCTTACAATTTCTTGTCTACGAATTGGTACTACATACTTCCAAAACTTGAAATCTCAAAAATGACTGCGGAAAAATATTGGCGCATAAGAATTTCTACAGAATGACTATTGACTATTGACCCTCCCCAGAAACGTCAGGTACGATCGTCATTTCAAGATGTGGCAGTCTTTTATCTGTGTTTCAAGATTTGATCCAGATCAAGAGGGAGGACATAGTCAGATAGATTATAATTATATTTCAGCTTATGACTATAATTCAATAATGAACATGAACGAACAAAACCAAGACTGGATGTATTTACCTATCGATAATACTGTTTGCATCTAACGAATTTTGGAAAAAAAAAACTATTCATGTATAAGTCTGATAAATTATTGTGAATCTTTGCGGAGTGCATATAACTGCAACAGGATAAGATATTCAAAGATTAATATCATCGAGTATCTTAGTTGGCATCTGCAGAGTAACGGATTCCGGTAAAATGCCCCCCCCCCCCTCATCAAAAGAAAATATTAAAAAAATGAAAGAAGTAGAGAGAGAAAAGGCACTTGAATAAAAATAACGAAAGACCCCTAAAAATAAAAATAAATTCCTAATAATGATTCATTCTCCGCTTGACGCTCGCATGTGTATGTAATAGAGAAGCTGAAAATATTCAAGTGTTATTGGAGACTCTACCGCACATGCAATTCTATATGTGCAGTTCTTTTTTTTTATATCTTTTCCTTCTCTATTGGTTGGTATGTTTCACAGTACCGTATTCCTGGTGTATTGCAATAACATAATACCGGATTACCCACGCAAAATGAATTAGAATATGGCGGACGTAATAATTTATGCATAATTTATGGACGATAGTTCATTTATATGTGTCAAGAGGACGGAAAACAAGTTTTTACCAACTAAGTATCTTCAGCGTTGACGTTTAGGAGAAGTGTCATGGTGAGAATAATTTTGAAAATTACGACGGAAATAATCAGGCTTCCAAAAGCCGAAGATTTAACGGTTTCTTCGCATTTTAAATAGTGGTAATTTGAAGAGAACATGAGGCGGATCATGGGCTGAGGTACTGGATAACAAACGATGCATCTATATGATTGGCTGGTTGTGCACTGATAATTTTATTGCCACATTCATCTTTTGATTGCCCATTCAAACACCACATATTGTTCTAGCGCTTAGCCGCTTAGCGATCGATAATCATAGGAGTGGAGTAGATGATTAAATGGCAAGATCTTGTGGTTTGTCCATGGGAGAAATGATTTTATATTTTTCCAACCGGTAATTGCACTCGTTCAATGGATTGATTTTCGTGAAATTGATACTCATAATTAGGGGACCTTTTTGGTTTGTTTTATAGTGATCCTCATGAAATAGATTGATATTTAAGGGTGTGAAGCGGATAATGGCTCTAAGACATTTTTCGAATTTTTAAATTATATCTATACTGTATCACTTGCGAAAACATAAGTTGCTATTCAAGTAGAGGGAAAATATTACTACAAAAATTAGATTAAGCCGATAGTTCTTGATTTAATTTTTCTCATCAATTCATGAATTTCTCATGGGAAGATTAACTGAAATATTACCTGATCCTTATTGAACATTTTAGCGATGCGTACTGAAAATTCCAATCAAAAATTTTTTTCCATAGACGACGATTGAAAATTACACACGTCAATTTCAAACAAACTATTCTTCATTTTCACCAAAAAAATATTGCGTTGATTTACCGATAAACATAATTTTTTAATATTAGAGCATTTACTAGAGATAGCTAATTTCTTTCCGTGAATCCGCAAGAACTTTTTTGAGTCCAGAAATTTCTTTGCTAATGCTATAATTTTACCTTTGCAGACTATGAAACGATTTATCTTTGTGGTGGATTCATTAGCAAAATCAAATAAAACCTTATAGCAATATTGTAGAATGGAATTTTACTCCACAAGTGTTGTGTCAAGAAGCATGGCTGTCACACCAACTATGCAACTATGATAATGTTCGAATGTATTACTAAATATCAAAAGACTCCATTACACAGAGGAAAACATATTGTTCTACCGGGAATACATTCATTCAGCTCAAAAATCTCTAAATATTTTCGTCTGAAAATGTCGGCTTTCTAGAGTTATTTGAAGGACGATTTGAAACAAGTGAATGAATAATAGGTTCTTTCAAAATCATTGTTTCGCGAATAGAAAGTATTAATGATTCGAAAATGAGAATTCAAATACTCCATTACGTTGAATAAAAAAGTTGCGGAAATGTCGTTAAGATATTCTGTGCCTTACATATTTGATGTTCTGAAATAAATCCTTATACAGGCTAAGAACTCCAGACTTAATCTCTTGTTCAATAATTAATAATGGGTCACAGGTAAATGAATTGCCTTGTCAATAATGAAAGCAGGGTCAGCCGAGATTTCCATTTTCAGTCAATTGCATTGTTTTTTATCAGAATGCTTGAGTTCTCGGCGTCTATGCGAAAAGATGTCCCATTTGAATTAAGTTTTTTTCTGGGAGACATTTGCTTGAACCCTTGAATTTTCTTGAACGGAAAATTTTATCTTGCTAAACTTGTACATTTTCAGAAAAACCAATTTTTTTCTCTCAATGTGTTTCCTAAAAAATTGAAATTCTCTCTTAAGGTTGTTTTGCATGTATTGGCGAACATGTAAGAATTGTTTGAAATTTTGAAAATTTACTATTGAAGTCGATAAAAGACGATGGTAACAATTTCATGATGATTGACTAAAATTTTTTTCATCCATTTGTTTGAAAAATATATTTATTTATAAAATGAAATACAATACAATAATTCTTTATGGCTATTACTTCAAATAATTAACGCATTGAAATATCAATTGGAAATTAATTCCGATAAATATAACGAATTATAGGAAGGGTCATAAACTGTTGTTTTGACTATACGTGCAGAACATCCTTAATACCGTTTCTTTTGAAGATACCGATGAACATAAACCTAAAAAGAAACCTTGGTATTTCATTAAATTTGAACTACCATAACACCACTATAGCAAGCAAGATGTGTGGAAGGCAATAAATAGAGAGTGATGATTTAAGCATAAAACTTCTTATAGGAGTTCGAACTTATCTCTCAATGTGGTCCAGCAAATACTGATTAAGAAACTTACGCTTGGATGGGATGCCATCACGTGAAGTTTTAGTTTCAAGATTTTTTTCAGTTTTTTTCCTCAAGGGTAAATAATAACACCAATGGTTGCACCACTGTAGTTAACACAAAAATAATTCTATGACACTTGGAAGTTCATTTTTTGGCGAAGAAGAATTTACAGTTTCTCAGAGTTGAGAAAAACGATAGAGTTAATTCTCTCTGGGTTATATCACTAAACTATTAGTTTACTCACTAAACTTTTCCTTTATCTCAGCCTATTCCTGTATTTTATTACATGTCATGTTTACGCCGAGGTGATTATGATTTATGAGAGTAATTTGTATTGTCCTTTGCGGTTGGCGTAACAAATTGGTGTTTAGAGTCACGTGGCAAATATTCTGACTTGGAAATTTCATCGACCATTTTAAGTGGTAACAATCACAATTTGTTATGAGAAATTTCACATGGTAAACAGTAACAACTTGCAGTAAGGACGTGTTTCAAAGAGACGTTATAGCCGGAGGAAGAGCGTATGCGCGAGGCGCGCGAACGCTTATTCGCAAGAGCTCTACCGGGGGAAGTCCGGCGACGCTCGGTCACTCTCGGTTGTCTCCGGGGGGATCGACGATCATCGCCTGACAGGACTCGTTTTAGTATTAACTCGAATCACTTCCAAAATTATGTTAATCCACTGGGGGTATGTATGCGCCTCTCCACCATTATTTTTTCCATTTAGCCTTTTTGATGTTAATGGTGAGAGAATAATGTTTTCAAAAATTTACGATGGTTTATCTGAGTTATTGCGGACCTCGAAAGATGACACTTGTGTCAATAATTTTGCTGCCGATGTGAGAGCGTCGGGAGTCTCGTGACGCGTGCGGGCGGGACCAGTGCACCGGCGTGGCCATCGAGCCGCCCCGATAACACATCAACCAGAGGATAAGAGGAGAGAAGGGACAAGTCCAATTGACTCAATGATTTCAACGTCAAGCTGAATTATTTAGTAAAATTAATAAATATATTATATAATATTAATAATAAATAACTTTGTAAAATGAATTAATACTGTTAGGATCAGTAAAATTATAGTTAACCATAATTCACCGGAATGCGGAGACAATCGTTGTCCTTCGAATTAAGGCCAATGGGAAATTTTATTATCATGAGTCACGTTACGTTTATTTCCACTTCAATTTTAAGGTATTTTTTTGGCCGAGATGAGTCGGTTATCTTCAAGTGTCTCTGATGGGGACAAATTTTCAATGGGAGAATTTTATTATGAATGAAAATTGAGAAACATGTGGGACTCAACACTTGTCTCTTTCACTCCCATTGAATTTCTCAATGAACAGACGCAACTGTTGCATAGTTTCTGATACTGTTAGACTCTGTGATGATGATGCGCTTTAGTAAAATTGTATAATATGAGTGCTCGCTACGCATTGCCTCCCTTTTATCGATCGATGTGGATTTTTATGTAATTGTAGATGAGGAAAAAATGACAAAGAAGAATGAGTATCGGATGTTGTATTTCTCGTTTTAGTTCGATGGCATTCTAATAGCCAATCGAATGATTCAGTGGCGAGGTGGTTTGAGTGATGCGCTAACTATATTACTGGAATCTCGATTGGGTTAAATTGTGTGAGGAATAATTTTACTTCATTCTCAGATACCTATCAACGATTAAATTCATGCTATTTCCGAAAACTTTTCACTCTAACACTAGCTCTCGGTTAGAAGCATATGTATCTTCGGGAGTTACACTTGTTCATCAGAAGAATTTTTCAAGTTCTAATGCCTCACGATTTTAATCCATTAGTCAATGTTTAGATATCAACAGTAAAAACACATGGAATATGGGCGAAGAGGAGTTTTCTGACGATGTGACTAATGTATTGGTCCGTAACTATATATATATAATCCTAAGGCATTAGAACTTGAAAAATTCTTCTGATGAACAAGTGTAACTCCCGAATATTATAAAATTATATAATAATATTATTAAATATTATATATATATATATATATAATATAATAATGCTCGACCAATGGTCACTAATGTTTACTGATATTCAACTGTGTGATATCCGGCCAATATGTTGGCCCACACCGACATAACAAAGTTAGGTTGTGCGATGTTGGTCCAGTGTCAAAGTCCCTATCTGTTGAATATATATGTTCGTCGATCATTGACCAATTATTGGCCCTATATAGTTTACCCACTATCTGACACTTGAAATAATCATCAAATGTAATTACATTATCCCCAAATGACAAAAACTGGTGTTTTTATACAAAATTGAGCCAAGTAAAAGTTTCACTCAATTGATTTCGTAAAAAACTCGTGTTTTGCCAAAATATGGCGTTCCTAGAAATTAAAAAAAAATCGGAAAATGTAAATGAAAACGCCAAAAAAAGTGATACGACTCAATTGAAAGGATTCAATAATGAAAATAAAGAAATCAGTAGAGGCAGGACCAACTTACTTGGCGCGGTTTTCCCAAGAACTAGAGTTAGAGCTAAAGTTATCTTCGGCCACTTTTAATTATTAATCAAGTTTCATTTTAGCATTATTCTGTAAGTAAAACTGCGCCAAGTAAGTTGGTTGTGGCTCTACTAATTTTTTAATTTTATTATTGATTAATGTGCGAAAAATCGTAGGTTCGCGTCTCGTTGAGCATTAAGCTGAAGGTCGTCAATTAGGTTTTTTCAGGATTAATATCATTGCCGTCGTGGTTAGGAATAATTAATAAATCATGAAAATGGGTAAATTTTCTGTTTGCTTCCAAATGGACGCTTTGTAATCGTTCGATTTTCGGATTTTCTAATGTTATTTGGAAATGATCAATGAATGATCAGAAACGTAAAAATACAAAATTATGTGCTCATTGTCAACTTCGCCCTCTCTTTTGTAAAATTAAAGAAATAAACAGCTAAAGTTGAGTTCCAAGAATGGTCCAATTCCGTCACATTATAGGTATTACTAAGAAGTAGATCTGTGTCGAAATTCAGCTTATGATCGACCGAGCTGTTTTTCATAAATTGCCATTTGGTTCTGAAACTTTTTTTTTCGCAAATATATCGGAAACTATCGAATCAATTTACTCTATCTCTATTACTCTATCAATCGATCAAATATGTATACCCGTGCTGACTAAGTTTTCGAAAAATTCAAATTTTTCAGTTTTTTTCAAAGAAAAAATTTGTTACCACTATAACGTTGCGAAAAATTGACACATCAACTTGTTTGAATTGTATGAATGTACGTGCAAATTGACTTGACCACAAATAATTTCGAAGCCAAAAAATGCCCTCTTACAGATGGTCTAGGTTAAAAGCAGTGACTCAACAACAATAGTGCGGTAGTCTAGTGGTTATGGTGTAGGTTTAGTAATAGTAAGGTCCCCGGTTCGATCCCCAGCACCGTCAAAATAAGAGGGTTTTCTCAATGTTAATTTCAATCGAGATCCATTAAGAGCGGTCATATGTGATAAAAAAAATTAATGGCCTTTTGTTTTAAGTGAGTTATAGTTGATATTTATTATTGTTTTCGATAGTGCGCCCATCTGATTTATATACCTTTGGCTCGATCAAATGCGAAGCTGTTAGACCGGATCAGAAGAGTTTGATGATGTCTTGATTTTTGAATTGATCTCAGGTTTTTTTTTTATTAGCTTCTTTTAATCATCGTGAAAACATTAATCATGGAATATATTTTGATAAGAAACGCATATTATTAATATTTTCGGTTGAAAATAATGAGATTCGACGGTCATCATTAGACCAATCAAAGCATCGATAATCAGAGTTAACATCCAAGGCTCGACAGAACATTGAGCGAGCCTTCTTTCCACGCTTCGAAATGTTAGTATCGAGCTTGGCCCGATCCTCCGGCCTATTCGGCTATTTTACGTAGGCATAGAGGGAAATTAAGTGTACAGTACCGTAAAATATTTAAATAATCTGCTTAGAACACAAATAATTCTTGTAAAAATAAATTTGTGCACAGATTAAAAATTGATTGCCGTTGGAAGCGTACCGATGATTTTTCATTATGTAGATTTTACACCTGCAGGCAAAGTAATGGATCCCTGAATTGTAAAAATCGGAAAAAACTGAAGAATGAATTACTTAGAACAGAAGAATCACTTTCAAAAAATATTATAATGTAACCCGCTATCATGCTACTTTCACTCCTTATCGGTGCACCTACTCCATTATCTTTCAGATTTAGACTAATATACAATTTTATATCATTATATTCTAAGACGCATCTCTAACCTCGCATTCATTTGGATAAAAACGCGTTTTCGGCCAATATGACATAAAATAGCATCATAGCCACGGCAAAAAAAAGGGATTCCGACTCACGCGCTTTATAATCTTCGCCTTCGGCTCAGACTATACAGCTGCATTCGTCATTGCCCTAGGGAAGTAAGTGTCCGCTTATTATTGACTTCCTTTTTACTTAATTTCCTAGGGGATGCAAAAATGCTCGGGCAATGTGGCCTCGTAACATATGCCACGCATAAATTACTATTTCTCCAGGTGTTTTTTGGTACTTCTTCCAACTTCACTCTTCTCACTTTTGCTTCCGAATGGAAGCATTGCAATCGTCCGATCCCGACCGGAAAAAAAAAATTCTAATTTTGCTTGGAAACGATGTAGAATGGTCTGAAATGTAAAAATACAAAAGTTTTTGAGAATGTCTGTGCGTGGTGCCCCCTGGCCAGGGGTGATTTTTTAGTTAAGAAAAGATAGAAGTGGGTAAAAAAATTCCAAAAAATTTGAAATTTTGTCAAATAATAGGTAAGAGTTGAGGCTAACTATGGAATGAAAATTCTGCTAGATCGGTCAAGCCGTTTTTGAGAAATCGTGATTTGTTTATAAATGTTTTTTCGAAATATCTCCAAAACTAATGAAGGTATTCAGTTTTTTGCTTCCGAATGGAAGGATTGCAATCGTCCGATCCCGACCGGAAAAAATAAAATTCTAATTTTGTTTGGAAACGATGTAGAATGGCCTGAAATGTAAAAATACAAAAGTTTTTGAGAATGTCTGTGCGTGGTGCCCCCTGGCCAGGGGTGATTTTTTAGTTAAGAAAAGATAAAGGTGGGTAAAAAAATTCCAAAAAAATTGAAATTTTGTCAAATAGTAGGTAAGAGTTGAGGCTAACTATGGAATGAAAATTCTGCTAGATCGGTCAAGCCGTTTTTGAGAAATCGTGATTTGTTTATAAATGTTTTTTCGAAATATCTCCAAAACTAATGAAGGTATTCAGTTTTTTTCTATTCCATTCTCTTCGCCATGATTGGCTCTATTGGAATCGATCAAAAATTTGAAAATGAACTCTGGAAAAAATCATAGTTATTGTCACTTTTATGTTTTTGAAAAAAAAATGTTGTACGCACTCTCACCCCCGCAAAAATCGAGATATCAACTTTAAATTTTGACGAGATTGTCCTTTTATCACTGCAACGGATGGTACTAAAAATGAGTAGGATTGACTGATTAGTTCCGGAGATATTCAATTTTTAGTGCAAAA